AGCTTGACAATTGGTTTGATTGACAAGCTATATATGTTTAGCTATTGAGTAACTATTATAATGGAAGAAAGAGAATAAAATGAAAGCATGCATTACAAGCTTAAACCCATGATAAGAAGAGTACATCCATAAATGAAAGTATCAAGGAGATAAGCATGGAGCAAAGAGTTCACCACCATTTTTTACCCTCTACTCATGAATAAAAAGCAATAGTAACGATAATTGGCTAATTAGGCACTATATTGGATGTAATGATACTTGGGTACGTAATTTCACTACTAACACATGGAAATCAATCTATATAATAGGAGATATTGGTAAGAAATTTTTTTAAAAGTATCTATAGCATTCCTAAAATAATATTTGTTGACCTATTTGAATGGACTCTATTATCTTTTCAAGCTTACCTTGGCAAAAAAGGCCTTAGCTATTCTTGATGATTTAGGACATGTTCACTTCATCTTTAAATATATAATGTACAATAAAAATAATTTTTGTAAAGTAAAAATAATTTCAATTCAATATTCAGTAAAAAAAATTCAGTTCATTAAAAATAATTTCGATTCAATAAATAAACAGTAACTTAAAAGAAGAAACCAATCAATCAATCAAAGCCTTAATCTCATAAATGGGGTCGGCTAAATGAACTAAAAATGATTATTCCGTGTGGTCGTCCACAAAAATCTTCCTCTTCCATGCCTTACGATCCAATACCTCACCCTCATGCAAATCCATATACTTTATATCCTTCCTAACTCCTTCCAACCAAGTCATTTTCGGTCCCCCTCTCCCTCGTTTAACCGCTCCATGGTCCCACCCTTCCACTCTTCGTACCGATGCACCCTCGAGTCTCCGTCTTACATGCCCAACCCAACACAAAAGATTTTCCCTTAGGTTGTCCACAATGCTTGCCACACCTACTTTCGTGCGAATAACCTCATTTCTGATTCTATCTCGTACAGTGTTCTCACACATCCACCTTAACATGCGCATTTCTGTAATCTCCATCTTTTTAATGTGCTCCTTCTTAGAAGCTCAACATCCTGTACCATAGGGCAACACTGGTCTAATGATAATCCTGTAGGATTTTCGCTTCAAGTATAAGGGAATGTTTCAGTCACATAACACTCCCGTTGCCGCTCTCATTTAAGCTACCCTGACCTAATCCTGTGAGCCACGTCTTGATCAATGTCCCCATTTTTCTAGGTGATCGACCCAAGATATTTAAAACATTCACTCATGGTCAAGTCTTTTCCATCCAAACTTACCACATCATTGCTTGTCCCCCTGTGAGTACCAAATCGGCATACCAAATATTTCATTTGGCAATAGTCATCCTTTCATGCCTTAATGAGCTTTATATATTGGATTACAACAATATTAGACACATGGAATCAAATATATGTACTAGTAGTTTTTTTGGTGTAAAAGTACACTAATCTATGTCATCCTAATCATTATTTAGTAGCAAAATAGCTTCCATGATTGAAAAAACTGCATTAACCCTTTCACCGCCCCCCAATGCCACATACACACACACACTTATTCACACAACTATCATTTGAATTCCATATATTAGAGCACAGTGAATGGTATATTAATCGTCATACTAAATTGTCATTACCTACGTGCTATGAAATGACATTTTTTCTGAGTTGATGTTAACAAAAATTTTCACTTTAATATATAAACAAATAGATGAATAGGAGACAAATCTCTCCCAATATTAAGTATAAAGAAAACAGATAAGTGTAAGAATTCAAAAGGTAAAATTACTAAGCCATTTGAGTTTGAGGCTTCTCTTTATTAGCACAAATACAAAAACCCTGAGAAGTACAACTGAGTGTACATAGCAGACAACAGAGCACGGACTACTAACAAAGATCACTAACCTGTTGGAGAGCAAATTCTGCAATAGGCTTGACATCCCTTGCTCCCATGTAATCAACAGGACCCTTTCCAGGTACAAATACCTTTATCGTTGGGAATCCTTTGATGCCATATTCCTTCACAATTCAAAAACCACTACATTAGAAGTTTAAATAATCATCCAGAATAAAGATGGACAATTCTGAGTGGATAAAAGAACTGAAACCATCAGCAACTTTTCTTCCAGATAAACAAAAAATTTCGACCTTTCCTATTTTCACATTTCTTCTTCACCTCTTAGAGATTAGCACACAGCGAACCAACATTGACCATTCAGGCAACAAATTAAACCTACAGTTAAGATGGCTTCCTAATGATCACATTATTTCATAATAGCAAGGAACATCAAAGTTTTATCAGCATTTTGACAATCAAAATGGCATAAAATCTGAGATTATTATCAAAAGGCCAACCTGAGCCAGAGATTGGTGGGCATCAGCATCAAGTGCTGCTACCGTCGCCACGCCTTTCAAGACACCGGCCGCCTTCTCCCATATTGGTGCTAAAGATTTACAGTGACCACACCATGGAGCATAAAACTCCACCAAAACAACCCCATTTGCATTCAAAACCTGCCATACATACCAATTATATCAGAATTCTTCTTATTCCTACTAATTGAATTGCAAACCAAATTCATCCACACCAATCAAAACCCATTTCAGAGAAAAATACAATTTAAATCACTAACAATCAGAACAAAATTTCAATCAAAACCCAGATAAATGCATTGAGGATTGAGCTAGTAATTATTAACCCAGAAGATGCATATTGAATCCAATTATAACAATCATCAAAAACCCAGAAAACAGAAGAAACAATTGAACTAATTACTCAATACCCATGATACAATCACTTGAAAAATCGAAATTGAATCAGAAATCTAATGATATCCCAAATCAGATCTTAACCAAAATTGATAAAAGAACAAACCTTAGACTTGAAATTGGAGGGAGTGAGCTGAAGAACGGGTGATGAAGCGCTGTACAATGCATTAGTATGCGCGCAAAATAAACATAATGTTAACAAGATGATTGCTGATTTCTGCATTTGATTTCTTTTTCTCTCTCAAAATTTTCAGAGTTTTTCTGTCAAAGAATGAGATGTGAGTGTATGTTTCAGAGAATGGAAGATGATCTGGGGAAGAAGAAGCTTCACGACGCTGTGAAAGAAGAAGAAAAACCCTTCGGCTGGACCCACAGATACGTGTGATACCCAATCACAGTTTTACACGTCGGACTAGTGACTGGTCGTTTTGTTAGTCTGTTTTTTCATTGGTAAATTTTTGCAAATCGGACATCTTTCAATTACACAACCACATTATTAATTCTCGTGCGCTCAATGTAATTTTCAATAAATATTCTTAAACAAACACTATATTTAGTTTTACAAAAATAAATCTACTTAAAATATTATTTTGTATAATAAATTTATTATGTAAGAATTTACTGTATTATTTTAAAATATGCATTTGACAATAGGTATATATTTATATTTTCACCAACAAACTTATATCACTTTTTTCTTGTTAACCATTATAAATCTTTCATGGCAAGCTTCTTGTTAACAATTGGTTGTTAGTGCAGTAGTGATCAAGACTGCACTTGGTAGGAAGGCGGCATGTTCGATCCTCCACGACAACAATTGAGAGAGGACAAGAACCTAACCACCCAGAACTGATCCTTGAATTCAGATTAGCCCATAGGGTGAACTGACTGGAACACCAAAAAAGAAATAATTAAAAAAAATCTTATAAAACTAAACAGTATTTACAAAAAAAAAAAAAATTAAAAAAATAGGCAAAATAAACACAACACAATATAAGTTGAATATTGTTTTAAAAAAATATGTATATAAGTTGAATATATTTGGGTTGACCAATGAGATAATGGCCTAGTGATTACGATTGATGGCTTGTTTATGATAAATTACAAGTTCAAATCCTACATAGATACAAGACTCTAGCTTAACTTTAAAATATTGTTTTTATTAGTAGAGAGCTGTTAGGGTGTTACATCAAAAGTAAAAATAATGCACGTATTGAATAACAAGTTACTATAAGATTGTATGTGAGAAAGTAGCACATGAAAATTGCATTAGTTTCTCCCCTGGCAGTGCATGTACTCCCTTCGTCCCTTTATTTTTGCCCCATTGCCATTTTTAAGGTCAAATTTTGAAAATTTTGACCATAAATTACCGTTAATGTATAAAAAATAATATAGTCATGAGTGATCTTGTTAGATTCGTCTCATTGTATATTTTATTAACATCATGTTTTTATAATTTTTACGTATATGGAAATAAAGATATAGACATTTTAATACGCGTCTTGGAGACCATACACAGTCAAATGGGGCAAAAAAGTATTGTGTAACGGATGAATAAGATTTCATGAGAGAAAGTAGCACATGGGAATTGCATTAATTCCTCCCCTAATTCCTACAGGATTGTTAATTTGAAACGTAGGGAGAAGGGAGTATGTAGTCGATCATGATTATTTACTTGTATTAGCCTTATTTATTTAACACCTTATTCAAATTGTTACTGTATAGTATTAGACTATTAAAGCAACTCTAATGGCAAGTTAATTGTTAAAAGCTAGTTTGAATCGCAGTGGCTAGCTATTAGCTTATTATTTTAAGTATTAATTTATTTTTTCATATTAATTACTACTTCGTAATTTACTTTTAGCATTTCCTTTTCAGCAAGTTTTTTCAAGCAATGCTAATTTGTTTGGCCAATCTAATTGCACATTCTAGCTCCAATGGTCAAGCTAGTTGCTAAGAACTGTTTAAGATTGCAGGCAAGTCCCGAACTAGTAGCTACAACCATTTGAGTTGCTCTAATCATCTCCATAAAATTGCTTTTTATTCCCTCCCTCTTTTCCTTACTACCCAAAGCTGTCACTACTGCTTAAGCCACCCCTTAACATGTTGGCTTTAACATTCATCAATGCACAACATTGACTATTCATAACTACAACTATTGATTATCGAGTATGGCGTAAAAGTTAATATTAATTATGAAGTAATAAACATGGAAATAAATCCAACAATAATAATATGGAGTAATTTATGAATAATCTTTTTATATTAGCTTCAGTATTTAAAAATTTTCTTAGGTTAAAAAGGAACATTAGGAAAATTTTCTAATTACTTGGGAATTTGGGATGGCAACAACACTACAGCAGTGCTTTCTGCAAGCATTAGACATTTCATCCTCGGACAAAATTTTCTTCAAAATGCACATTTTATTACAGGGAATTTACATTAAAAAAAGCCCTAGAAATTCGAAGGAAGTGAAATATTAAGGAAAAAAAAAAGGGTGAAAAAGAGAAGACTAGTGCTGTGACTCAGTAGTTCGGGTGTTGAGCAGACTGTACGAAATAATAGAACTCAGTGGCTTGTACATGATGACCTAAAGACATCCTTTCTAAAAGTTGATTCTGTATATTCTAGCCAGGCAATCTTTTCGCAATGGCGAGTCGGTAAATAGGGCTTTGATAAAATCTACAACCTGCAACAATTAGCATCTTGTAAAAACTTTAAACCTCCAGAAACATATGGAATTCTAAGTTTCCATTTCACAAGAACTAGCATACCTCTGTTAAAATAAATCCACAACCATACAAGTCTCCAAATTCCCAAGCTTCGGTGATGGACTTCAAGGGCATGTCAAGAAGTTCTACCATAAATGAGAAAACAATCAAACAACAGACCAGTCCGTTCAATTAATCCTGTTGGTATGTAAGTTGTTTCAGGGCAGGGGGGATTGTTGGATAATAATCCATCTCAGGGATAAGCAAAATCCAATCCCGTGGGCATTTTATATTCCCAACATAAACTGGGGCAGTTTGACACAATAGAGAGAATTCCTGGAATAATACCCCCAAGATTGGATTTTTTGCCCATCTCTGTATTGGGGTTATCAAGATTTCAGGTGCGAAAAAGAGGGGAGGGAGGAGTATATAATACCAGCTAGTTTTCTGATTTTTCCCAACGATGGAATGTCTGCTTCAAGTGGACGTGAAAAGCTCTGATCAGAATTCTTATCATTTTGAATAGTGCTCAGGGCCTCAAGCAATGGTGCCAGACTCTCCAGCAACAATTGAATCAGTCTTTGAAGCTGAAGATACAAGGATAAAGGAATTAATACATTTGAATGCAGTCATTCTGGGGGGGAAAAATATAATACATAATTAAAGTTTCACGCACTTGAAGAGACTCTTCAGCAGCTATATCATCTAAGAGGAGTATGTCTTGCGTAATTCTTAAAAAAACTGATTCCAGAGCCATGCACATACACCTTTTGTAAGTTGAAGGCAGTAAGACAGGCTCCCATAGAATTCGAACTTTTTCAATGATAAAAATAACCTGATACAGAAAATTGAATTGACATCACAACAACAGCAATGTAGGCAGAAGTGTTTTCCAATACAAAAAGATACAGTTATATGGTTCACCCGCTCTAAACTAAACTTCACAGACTCGTATTGTGGCATTTGATGAGTATTCTGAAATCCATCAGCGCCATCTACAGCCTGAATTCACAATAGTGGGAAAAAAAAAATTGGTAGAATCAATAGAAAGCAGATACCTAATATGTCAAAACAACTCATATCAATATTAAAGTAATCCATACCTCCTTCAAGTTAGATATAGTAACTTGAATGTGCTGCTGAAGAATGTCTTCTCCCAACAGCTGCAATCTAGGAGCTATATCAACAAATATGGCATGCTCTTTTATGAAGTTAGGGAAGTCTGGCCGGTACTGAATACAAAAATGATAGACGTGTAAGCTAAAAAAGAATTTTAGATATTCCAATCCTCAATTCATAGCAGTTGACTGGTGGTCAAATAAACGATTATTCTGAAAACTAAATCTAGAATAATGTTATGTCACACAAAATTTTATCAATCATAAATTATAGATTGTAAGCAGGTGGCCAGGAGCACAAATTCAGGACTTACAATAGCAAACAGTTCATCATACCTCGAATGCCAGGCCCAGGATTTCCTGAGAGAGAGACAGACAGTCATTGTGCATCAAAACAGCCGCCTGGTTGATGCTGTCACGCTGTCGCTCTAACTTCACAAGTGAGAAACTAGTTATATTAAGATAATTAGAAAGTGACCATCCATACACCAGGTATTATTACACGGCACTTTATGAAAAAAAATGAAATGTTTAGTACTAATGCAATCAACTAATGTCAAAATAACAAACACACTAATATTTTAGGATGCCGCTTGCATCACCCGGTCACCCCTACACTCCCAAAAACCTACTTGTTTTTCTTGGAAATGAAATCCAGAAATTGGTAAATAACATCAAAATTACTGCATAACATTTTTAAGAAATAATAAAGGCATATAATGGAAAATGTTTTAAACTCAATGAATAATTATTCTAAACAAATGTTACTCCTTGATGTTCATACCAAAATTAAAGTGCGACCATAACTTAGATGGAGGAATTTCAGATGACGCATAAACTATCTAGAATTAGAATGTGCATGCAGATGTGTATATGATTCTGTTTTGGACAAAAGTGTTTTCTAACCAAAGAAATTGGTGGGGTAAGTAAAACATTTAACAAGTACAAAATTACCCTGTTTGTGAATACTAATTAAAGAAGCACCTAAATCTTGCATAGTAAAGCTAACCATTTAGCATAGTAAAAATGTAAATAAATAAATATCAAAAGCCAGCAACTCTAACTTTCAGAACAAGTTATTAACAACCAAGCAAAATCAAAATTCAGAATACCATAGACATCTCTCTAACATTGAAAAGGTGCCAGATACTAAAGGCAATAAGTTATGTAACCTAATGTTTCAGACAGATTGCGTCTACATGCTGTAAGACTAGTAAGCATGTAAGGATAAGGATAATAATAAGAATAAGAATACAGAAGTTCATATTCAAATTGATGTAAGAACTCCTCAACAAGAATACCTTAATTGGAATAATAGCTTCATAAAGCAATAGAGCATCTCTTGCCGCATGATAGAATTCCAACGCCACTCGTGGGGATGACAAACAAACATCCTACAGAGATTCATAACAAGTCATCAATTCGATCTTTTAACATGAAATCACAAACACGCAAAAACAAATAGTGGGATGACAAAGATTCAAATCTCTGGAGAGTTGGTATAACTGAGATAGCGGTGGAGCAAATGTTTCATGTAAAATTACTCTTAAGTACGTCAGGTTTATTAATTCAGAGGGCTTATCAGCTAATCAGAATCATCCACGTAGTCCAATTGAACATGAAAAATCAAAATAGTTGTGATATTATTGACATTATACAAACCATTGCTACGAATAATTCCATCAGAAATTCAAATTTTGCCCAAACAGAAAACTTAGTGTCATGAAAATCATAATAATGAGCAATGAGTGAGGCAATGTCTGCATATATAATTATCTTACTTTAAGTGTTTGATGCACCAGCTTCATCAACTGGCTAGAAGCATGAGACACTATACACCTCTCTGACGAAAAAAGCAAATTGACAGCGCAGTCGCTGTATCTGTTATTTCTGAATTTATGTCCTTTGCTGCCGAACTCCTGATAGCTAATTGTTAGTATGCTAATCCAGCCGGTGAACACAAGGATACAAGACAGCTTTCATGAAACTTACTTCAGGAACAGTAAAGTCACATTTTAGAATCAACTGTCTAGCAGTTGCCAACATTTCCGTCTTCTTCCTCACAGCAAAATGCACCTCCACATTATCAGCAAAGTTGCTGAGTTTTTCATCATTCTTATCCGACTCAGAAATGAACATAATATCCTTCAAAACAGTCTCAAATTCAGAAGAAGAGTTCATAATTTTCTGAAAATCAGCCAACTTTGAAGCATCATCGGGGACAACCTGGGAAAAAAAGAATACAAAAGAGTCAGCACAGCAAACAGAAGTCACGTCAAAGTGTAAAGAAAAATAAATCTGACCAATAAAAATGCATGAGTTCAACACACAAGCACTTAAACAACCAAGCCAAGGAAACTAAAAAAAAATAAATCAATCTCAAAGGCTTTAAGTAGTCAGCATGAAATTATAAGTTTTAATGTCTTAACATCATACAAGCAGTGTAGTGGAGCAAAAAAATAAACATGAATGATAAAGGTGAAGTGTTTGTAAGAAAACCTTCGAGAGGAAGTTTGAAATAATAAGCTCGGACATCCTCGGCCATGTCAATTTGCCGAAACAGCGCATCCAAGGTCCATTTTCAAGACATACATTGTGGTAGATGAATTTAACAACTTTCGTCATTCTTGAGAACAGAGCGTTGCAATCCATGTCTTCTGTCTACACCAAGAAGAAGGGTCAGTCTAACAGTGTATAGCATGTGGCAATCTTTACCCAGTAGAATGCATGTTAATGTGTAGTGAATTATCAACTTACTAGTCCCTCCGTCACATAATATAGTGCCTATATTCCAATTTTGGTGTACCAATATGTTTTTGCCTGTTTCCGATCCTTCTAATTTTATTTTACATGATTTTGTCATAATGCACCAACTTTTTTACCTTTCCTATGTAAAACAAACCCTATCATTTCCCCAAAATTTTGGGGCAATTCGGGTCAGCAGGTCAAGTTCAGGTCAGATTTTGGGTCGATTTCGGGTTATGATTAGAACTATCAAAAATTGTGTAAAACTTAACATTATTACGAAATATGAAATTTGGGTCAAATCGGGTCGAATTCAGGTTGTTCGGGCTCGGGTCGGGTTTGGGTTTCTCTCATTAACTTCGAGTCAAGTTGGGCCGTGTTATCGGGTCGGGTCAGGGATTGCCGGCCCGATTATTTACTTTATTATTTCTTCCATATAAAATAACCCTATCCAAAGGTTCATATACGTCATATTTACTCTTTTTTTTCAATAAAAATACCTCTACTTTTAACAATATTACAAACACCCTCCAGTACCCTTCATTCACGTGAAAAATTAGAAATGGACACTATTTTATGGATCAGAGGGAGTATTACCAATAACCAAGTTCATAAACGCACTTTCTGTTTTCTCATATCGTGACTGCTTGGCACACAACAAAAATACAACTTGAGGAGCCAAAAGAGACCAAATTCACAATAGTAACAGCTATATCACTGATGTTACCTTCGACTCTGAACTTGAGATTATCAAGATTGTATCACTGCTCTCTTCCAGGCTACCACTAGATTTCTCCAGAAATGAAACGGGGGACTTAAAATTCACTGCAGGAGCAATGGCATGCTTGATAAACAAGTCAGCGGTCTTTGCAAGGCCATAATCAAGTATTCCCAACACCTGGAAGACAGAACAAGATAATATACTAGCTGTATTCCATTCACAAGTAATTTGCCACAAACATCAACATAAGTAATTAGAAGATATCATGACAACTAAGTAAATCTTCATGTAGATAGGAGTTATAATCAACACATTCGTAAACAAAGTACTGAATTATACTAAAAAATAACGAATTTTATCGCGAATATCATCATACACTCAATCAAATCAACAATGAAGATTTACAAAGCTCATTACAGGAAACTAAAATTTCACTACATTGCAACAAGACAAGAACTTTACCTCCATGGCTTCCAAAACTGTACGAAGCTCGACGCCATGAGCATCACCGATGCTTGAGCGATAAACAACCCGAATTCCACCCAATTGAGGGTCAAAACTCACCACATTGCTCATAAACTTGACAAGCAAATCTTGAATCTACAAACCCAAATGCAATTCATCCATAAAAAGACCAATCATCACAACACCTAATAAAAACCCCAAAAATCAAATCAAACAAAATAAAAATTAAAACCATAATCAACAAAAATTACAATCAATTACACAAATTTTACCTCCTCAAAGCAGAGCAACCATTGCTTCCTGAGCAAACCATAAACAACAACCTCCTCATTTTCTCTCTCCTCATCAACATCACCAATCCTCAACGCCAGTTTCAAATCCCTAACCCCTTTTGCCGCTTCAACAAAATCCCCATTTTTCATCAACTCCTTAACATTCCCCAAATTCCCACTCAATCTCACAATCACCCTCACAATCGACGCTTTCTTCTTCGTCGCTTCCAACTCAGAAACCCCAGATTGAATCTCCTTCAAAATCGACAGAATCTGACGATGATCATCGTCGTGGGAGAGGAGAGAGAGAAGGGAGTGGAGATTGGAGGAGAGAGAAAGGGAGTCGGAGAAAGTGGAGGAGGAGAGAGAAAGGAGGTCGGCGAAGTGGGTGTGATGAGAGAGAATGTAGGATTGAACTTTGGATTTGATGTGCTGTGAATGGGCGTCGAGACGGTGGATTAGTAGGCGGAGGTCTGGCGCTGAGAGCGGCGATGATGGGTCGTCGAGGTCTGATGCGGAGAGAAGATCGCGCACGTCGATGGACTTGAATACGACGTCCATGGCTGCCGTAGTTGGTGGTTTCCGGCGGTGACGAGTGAGGAGAGAGAAAATGGGGTGGTGTTCAGGTTAATGGATTAATTCTTGTTGCTCGGTTTCTTAGTTTCTGAAAACAAACCCGAGGGTAGCTCAATATTTTCCGAGAAAATCCAAGTTTTCGAGATAAATATGTAACAACGGTGTACGGTTAGCCACACCATGTGGTCGATTATAAAATAATAAAGTAAAAACTGTAACATTGGTCAAGTAACTTTTGCAATACCAACTCCTGTAACACTGACCTAATAACCCATATAACACTGATGAAGTAACCCCTGTAACTCTGACCAAGTAACTCCTGTAACACTAACGAAGTAACTCGGCCACTACGCGGTGTGGTCAGCCACATACGAAAGTTTATGAATCTGTTAATATATCTCTCTTCCAATATAATTTTTTATTTTTATTTTTTAAATAATAAAAGTTAGAAATAAATGCATAAAATTGTGAGAGGAGATAAACTTATAATCTTTTACTTGAGAAAACACGTATATATGAGGTTAACTGACGTATATATCCTTATGTAGCCTCTTTCTTTTAGGGATTTGTTAAACATCGCCGGCAAATTACCATATAAAGCCCACAAATATGACTTGGTATGACAATTATGCCCATTTTCTAAAATTGAACAAATCTCGATTTAAAAAATGTGGAGCCGTACTGGCTCGCCGGGGGAGACCGGAGGGCAGGCCGGAGATGCGGGGGACGCCGGAGGTACGTCGTCGTCGACGGAAAACGAGGTAAGTCACCGTTAAAATTCACGGTTTACGTAACGGCGTCTGAAAGAGGTGGTCGTGCAGTGGCTCCGCCGCCTAGGATGGACGCCCTTACCGTAGCATGGACGTCCAAGCCAGACGCCAGAACCACCACACCGGCGTCCAGCCCAGACGCCCAGACCACCAGACAGGCATCCTGGCCGGGCGCTAGTCCATTGGCTGAGGCAGCCCTGCCAGGCGCCAGTCCAGTGGCTGTGGCGGCCCTGGCAGACGCCACCCTTTTTTTTTTTTTTTTTTAAATCGAAAATGATTTTTTAAAAAAATTCGAAATTGTTTTATATTTGAAAAATCGAAATGGGTTTTTTTAAAATTAAGTTTGAAAATTCGAAATAGGTTTTTTAAAATTAAGTTTGAAAATTCGAAATGGTATTTTTTTTAAATTAAGTTTGAAAATTCGAAATGGGTTTTTTTAAAAATTAAGTTTGATTGTTGAGAAAGGTTTTTTTTTTAAAATTAAGTTTGACAATTCGAAATTGTATTAAAAAAAATTGGAAATGGTTTTTTTTTTAATTTATTTCAAATTGAAAATTCAAAACGGTGTTTTTTTAAATTATGTTTAATAATTTAATGTTTTTATTTATGTAGTGAGTAGATTTGTGTTAATGTATACCAAAATATTTAATTGTTTATGTGACTTTTATAAATGATTGTGTTTAAAATTTGTATGTGTATGTGTATGAATAATATTATACATAATTATGTTTTTTTTTGTGTTAATTCTGTGTAAATATAGAAATTAAATGTATTATCCGTTAAATGTATTTATTATAATATATAATTGATGCAGGATTATGGTGGAGATGGAAATGATTACAGTGGGATATTTGGACATGATGGTCCATTCGAAGAATCTCAACAAGCGATTGATTGGGCAAAACAGGTTGCAATTGCAGCAAGATTTTGCTTGGTAGTAGTAACTCATAAATCTCAACGGGATGGTAGAATGGATCGCATTTTGAGATGTGACCGTTATCGCAAAAGAGAAGAAAGAGATTTTCGTACAGCCACTCGGTTTGATACAAAGCGGAAAGGTTGTGGGTGTGAGTTCAGAGTAAAGGTTCGACAACTACGGAGTCGTGACGGTTGGGAAGTGATTGGTTACTCTAAATGGGGGTATCACAACCATGAGATGATAGTATATGAATAGGGTCATCGACAGCTGAGCGGCTTAAGTCCTGCTGCGAAACTAGTTGTGAAAGAAATGAGTGATGCTCAAGTCAAGCCTGCTAAAATATTAGCATCTGTGTTAGAGAAATTTCCAGAAGACCATCCAAACCGAAGACACATCTACAACGTCAGACAACAACTCAAGTTTGAACGGTCATAGGGAAGGAACCCTATACAGAAGCTGCTACACCAGGCACAATCACGTGGTTACCTGTTCTGGTTTGATTCTGATGAAGATACAGCGGAGGTGACTCATCTTTTCCTTGTGCATCCTGATTGTGCTGATATGATCAAGTCTTGGCCATTTGTGATTTTGTTCGACTCAACGTACAAGACAAACAAGTACAAGTTCCCACTGGTTAAGATCATGGGGATGACTCCAACGAACCAGAACTTTCCGATTGGTCATGCAATCATCAAGGATGAGACGACTCCAAGTTATTATTGGGTCTTGGAGAAGCTGAGAAACTACATCGGGCCTAATGTTCATCCAGCAGCCATCGTCAGTGACTATGAGGGAGGTCTATTTGCCCCCATTAGGGAGTTGTTTCCAGAGTCGAAGCACTTGTTGTGCACATGGCACATCAACAACTACGTGAAAGTGAAAGCCTACAACCTTTTCAACAAGAATTTGGAAATGACAGAGAGATTGGTGAATGGTAAGTGGCGGAAGATCCTACAGGCTACCACAGAGGAAGTGTACGAGCGAGAATTGGCTAACTTCAGGGATTCGTACCAGTGGTGTCCGGAACTGGTGGACTATGTGATGCAGCAATGGGTCCCTCACAGGGAAAAGTTTGTCAAATATTGGACAAACCAGGTACTTCATTTCGGGAACACTACAACATGTAGAGTTGAGAGCGCTCATAGAGCTACCAAGGACTGGATTGATTCATCGACCGCTGCTTTGGATACACTGTTCGGTAGACTTAACAAGTCAATTGAAACTCAGAAGAACGGCATCAGGAACTCTCTAGAGGACTCCAGACGACGACATGGTACGATGTATAGCCATTTCATATTTAAGATTCTACATGGTCGTGTGTCGCACTACTGCTTGGGGTTGATTCTCACTGAGGTGAACAGGATGAGGGACTTGGCTGACGAAGTGTATGCTCGGTGCGGGTGTGCTATTTTAGTAACTCATGGATTACCTTGCGCATGCACCATTCACCGCGTTATTACAGAAGAAAGAGCGTCGTTACATGTTGATCAGGTTCATTCATTCTGGCGGACGCTCGTTATTGGTGAGCATGCAGATACTCAAACGGCCGACCGTGAACAGGAGGAGTTGGAGCAGTTTTGTTCGATGTATGACCAAGTGTCCTCCAATCATCCTTCTATTATTCGTGACGCTACTCATGTACTTCATGATATCCTTCTATTACCTTAGGTTTTTTACATTGCACATTGTTTTTAAGGTTACTCCTGCCTTCTTAACTGTGTTTAATTATATGGTGAATAGGAAGAAACGATGTTGATCAGTTTCCGTACAAGGACAGGATACCTAACATCATCATGTCGTACTTGGAAAGGTGGAATGATGTAGTCGGAGATGGTAACTGCGGATTCCGGGTCGTGGCTGATGTTTTTCAAATGGGCGAAGACAACTACGGTTTGGTGCGTCAGTTGATGTACAGCGAAATTGCCTCTAACCTAAATGTTTATCGTCATGTGTACCAGGATGACTTGGATGGCGCTCTGCGGCGTATCCGGTGGGGAGGTGGACCTTGCGGTCAAAATCATTATTTTGACGCGCCCCTAGATCTGTTTGCCGTTGTAAACATTTACAAGTGCACAGTCATGCATTTCGGGCTGGGATTGCATAGTCAAGCTTATTATCCTTGCACCACGGTTCTCCCTTGGCGTTCGCGTGAGACTGTCACCACACCGGTCAGAGAGGTAGCTATTGCGTTTCTTGGGTCGTCATACAGACATTTCATCCGACTAGACATGTCATCCGATTTTCCAGTGCCACCGATTATACCTCGGTGGTACACCATTCGCACAGCGAGCGTAGAGGGTTGGGATGCGCTATATCATGACCGGATCCACGAATGGAACACCCTAGCTGCATTTTAGTTTTTCATGTTTACATTCTTCCTATGTAACCTTATTTGTACGTTGATCTTTTAATGAGAACATTAATTTTTTATATTGTATTGCTTAATGCATTCTATATGTTGCATGGGTAAGTTGCGCGGATCCACGAATGGTTATGTCAAAATTTAAAAAACAGCAATGATAATATGTCAAAGTTGAAAGCTAAAACAACAATCTAAAATGTTACAAACTTAAAACATAATGTCCAATTTAATAAATTAAAACGATAATATTTAAAGTGCTCTATAAATAAAATGCCAAAACCATCAGTAATCCTTCCTCGACGCCGACTCCCAATGCGCAAGGGTTTGTTCCAGACTATCAACAGCAGCTCTCACTGTTGCACTCATGTTGTCCTTCTCCAGAGAGAGTTTCTGTACGTCCTGCATTATCTTTCCCATCCACTGCATACAACAAAAAATAAAACATGAAATACAATAACAACATATAAAACTTAATTAAAAAACAACGATAAATATTTTATGAGACATACCGCTTCCATGGCAGTAGGCGGTGGCATATAATCATCATCCCTGTGGTCGAGATCTGCGATCAACCTCGGGTGCGAATACCGGTTGAACCATTCCATGTAGTAGTGGTCACACATGGGAGGAACCCCAGATGGCGGCCTCTGCAACTCCGCATTCCATAAGCGGGCCACCATCGGAAACTGGTCCCACGTCCCAGTCATGATATCCGGCCAATGCACGACGTAGTCCCTCGACGATGCAGGTCGGACCGCCTTCATCGGGCATGCCGGGGGAGGAGGGACAACTTGGACAAATCCAAGCTGGCGAAGACAACGCTGGGGCATGTACGCTTCGACGATCTCACGATACTGAATAAGTCCCGTGTACAGGGTCCTAGGTACCCTAACACTAGGGTTCTGGCCGAAAGGCATCCAGTTCACCTGCACATAGTTTTAAAATTTAATAACATGAACATAATAAGTGCATATAATAAAATGTAGAAATAATTTATAAACGTTACCTCTAAGGGGGACAGCCTGTCAAGCAATAACCGTATCGATCGGAGGCGGTCAACGGACTTCTTCTC